TTAATAAGACTTAATAAAATACAATAACCAAAATTTAGTAATACAATTTTAATAAGACGGCCCTCCCTTCGTGCTGGAATGCCTGAAAGTTTACCCAATAAACCACCAAATATATTACTTTAACAATACAAAAACAAGAGCACTACAAATAAAAAGATACAGAAAACAAAGTCATAAATGCTTCCGTTTCACTGAGAGCTATGTGCAATAAAAATAATTTAGTAGCTTACCAAAGGAATATTTACACTTGGAGTCGCTAGGACTAAGGACAGTCACAGTCAGTTGAAACAAGAGTGATTACAAGTTAGTAATAAATCTTATATCGAATTGATCGATGTTTGGTCCATAGTTCATTATTAGATAAACTACTTTGAAATAGCATGTACTACAATTAAAATGTATTGATTTTGAAAAAACGTTTACGGCATTTTTGTGTATAGTAAAACATTTACTAATATTAATCATATATCAATTAGATAACATGCATGCAATGTAATCGGTAAATTTGTATTGGTAACTAGGTCAGTTCTGCTTTGAAATATTATAATTAACTAGCTTCCAGCAACGACTACAGGTAGTGGTAAATTAATAATTAATGACGACTCATTGGTCTAGTGACGACTCATTGGTCTAGTGGTTAGTACCCCTGACTGAGAATCCATGGGTCCCGGGTTCGATCCCCGGCTGAGACGAACATCGATGTGATGAGCATTTGGTGTTGTGCTTAGGTCTTGGGTGTTTAAATATGTATTTATACGTCTATCTATCTATAATATGAATGTATATCCGTTGCCTAGTACCCACAACACAAGCTTCACCAGCTTAGCATGGGGCAAGATCAATTGGTGTGAATTGTATTTAAAAAAAAAAAAAAAATGTAACCAATTTTAACACAATTCTAATAAATGCGTGAAGTCTTTTAATGCAGAATGTAGAAACTACAAGAATCGAATCCAGGACCTTCAAGTTAAACAAATTAGATAAAGCAACTGCGCCATGAAAGTGGTATATATAAGGGTTTTTTGATTATAAGATCTCTTCCAGGCATCATTTTTAGGAAAAATCTATTGAAATAAGGTGAGCAAGAAGTGCAAAAACTACATCACATATAGACTTTGGTATAACATACAGAAAACAAACATAAAGACAGTTGTCATCATGATAATAGTGATAATTTCTAAATTGTGAGGGATTCGATGTGGACAAATAATGCTTGTGAAGTAGAAATTAAAATTGATCTTTCTAGAAAGAATAAAAAATAGCTAATTGTACTCGATGGGAGTAAAATAGCTATAAAATATATTTGTATGTATTATTTCTGGATTTGACTCAAGCAGACGCGTAGGACTTGTTCATGTCAGAAATAGAAGACTCATTCAGCATTCGCGGAATGTATGAATATATAAATAATATTATTTTATACGCATAACATTATTATTTTGTTTAAAAAAATCAAAACAATTAGCATATTAATAAGTATTATGTTTTTATAATATTACATGTGATGTTCAAATGTATGTTAAATGAAACTCTTTGTTTGAAGCAGGACGTCGACTGGCTTTAATCGTTTAAAACATGAGCTTATAACTAACATAAAATTAGGTGTAGTGGGGTGGCGATGATGCTAAATTATTAAAAAACTACAATACAAGTATAGTCGACCTATTGGAAATTATCGGAATCGAGAATGTTTTAGTATAATTCATGAGTGTGGGATTTTTTTGAGAATTGTGGGAAGTGTGTGATGATTGCTAACATTTTGTTTGCTCTTCTAATTATTATATATTGAACTAAACTAATTTTAGGTTACATAACTAGTGTTTTAAAGTTTTTATTAAATAGTTTATGACTCACCTCCTAACTAAATAAACCAAACCGACTTAATCAAACTAATTGCGCGTTTCAACTAAATATCTATTGCTTTTCATCACTAAGTAAACACAATTTGACAGAAAGAGACAAATGATAAGTTAAAAGAGTGCAATTATACTGATTTAGTTTTTTATGAATAAAGTATAGAAGTTTACGCCAACATTTCTTATGTGCAGCAAGTGGTATGCTGGCTTGTATGATTTTGTTTTTCATTTCAATTCTGAATAAACCTTTATCAAGTTATATTGTATCGTTAAAAGTTACTTCAATGGTTAATTCGAATGTAAATCAAACATTTATAAGCACGTGGGTATATTAGGGTGCGTACAGACTATGTAACATATTATATAACTTGTGTTTTATAGCACGTCCACATTATGTAACCTTGTTATTTAACATTATAACATAAAACAATACTGTACACATTAAAATAACAATACAATATAACAATGGTTTATAACCATAGTCTGTACGCACCTTTAGGTACCGATGTCAACCGGTACTGAAATTATCTACGAGTACGACGTAGCACGTGCTACGTTGCTACAACATTCTGTGCCTCTACGAAATCTGTACGAAGTTTCTTTATTTATTTCCTTATTTCCTATTTTTACAGTAACTAAATACTAATACAATAGAAAACTAAACTAAAAACATAACAAGTAAAAACTTAAAATCCAAACCGTTTTATAACTAATTATAAATAATGCAATTCTTGTGAATTCAGCCAGTGTGCAACTAAATATATCCGTCTCACAAGCAATAGTGTTTAGGGTGCGCAAAGTATCTACGATCCCTTATCACAAAAGATATTTATAGCTAAATATTATGAAAGAACTACAGATGGCAGATGGTCTAAAACGGTAACCGAATGGACCCAAAAGGACAAAGAAACAAGGGAAGACCAGGATATGGGCCAACGAGTTAGGATAACTGGCAAATATTGTATGATAACAGCAAAAAATAAAATAGGATGGATAAAGTTTGAGGAGGCCTTCTCCCGGACGGCTATCTTACCTTAATAAAATTGTATATATACTTTAAAAAGATGAAATAAAATGTGGAGAAATAAGGCCTATTAATAAATTTACACACACAATAGGACTTGACAAACGAGAAATGATTTATGCGTGTGTTATATTAAATCTAAATCAATCTATCAGAATTTTATACAAAAAAAATTTTTTCTTTTAAAACTCGATTTTAGATCAGATTAGTTCATATTCCAGAACTATGTGTCTCCTGACGTAAGACAGACGTTATTTACGCATAAATTTGACGTCAAGACAACGTAAATAAGATTAAGAGTTAAATTTGTCCACAGAAATTGGATTTCATAATAAAATTCACATTATGGTGATCCACTTATACACATTTTTAATGCCAATAATACATTTTCGCTTTAATATGTGATAATTAAGATTTTGGCTATACTTTCTTATTTCGTATTATTTCTAGATTTGTTTCTATATAGAACTAAGTATACAATAATTAATTCTTATTAAAACATGACTAACGATTGCTATGTAGGTATTTTTACTTAGCGAGCAGTGTTCGACTACTCAGGTCGTGCGTTCATATCCCGGCTGAACACCAATGAATAATGTGTGTGTGGAAAAATTACTTTTTAATCAACACTGTAAAATAATAATTTCGTGTTTATTGTATAAGCATGATTATATAGTTGAGAGCCGAAAGAGGTTGATAGCAAAATTTTCTAAAACACTCATACAAACGCTTATAAACTCAAACTCAAAATAACTTTATTCATATAGGTAACGTCAACAGAAAAGATAATAAATTTATTCTAAATTTACATTTACTACCAGTTCGGCAAGTCATGGGCGTAGAGCGGGCAAGAGGAACTAAAGAAACTCCCCGCCACTCTTTTTAATCGTAAAATTTTGAGTCATACAAATTGATTGAACTGGAGCAAATCAATCCCAAGGATTAGGATCATTTAAATGAAATCATAAAATCAACAAACACTGGAAAGAGCTGGTTTATAAGATGTTAAAACAATGATAAGACCAGTTGCCTTCGCTGTGAAGGGGATTGACAGCGATCCGTGAAAAGCACGCCAACTATTCTAATCTTTGGCGATTTGCCGAACTGACGTGGCGCCATACAACATTATTTTTTAACTGACTGGTAACGTTATTATTACGCTTAGACTCAGTGCTGTGCAAATAAAATCACCCCGAGTTTCACATCAAGTTTATCATGACTTACACTTATTGTTTGGCTAAATAATAGCCATTTTAGAAATGTGACATTTAAGGGGAATTTTTTGAAGTTAAAGAGAGTTTTACTAATTAGAAAACTTTAAAGAAAAAAACTTATTTATTTATTTGATCTCTATAACTTAAACAATTATTAATTAGTATATCTTTCCCAGTTAAAGATATAAGTTTATTTAGTGAAGAAATAATATTAGTAACGCCATCTATTAGAACTTTAACAAAGCAACAAAGACTACAAACGAACGTCTGTTTGGCTTTAACTAGTTTCGATGTTTGTCACTAGATGGCGAAGTATCAAAGAAAACGATAAAGACTTAGAACTACGACTTCAGACTAATGACTTAAGAAAAACGATTCATAGATGGCCCTACGTAGACCACCAGATATATTTTCAAGACGATTCGGCGACGGCGTTTATCCACGTAGACGTAGACGGTAGACGTTGTGGTTTATGACATTTTCCTTTGAATAATAATTGTAATGTGCAGGGAGGGTAAAACTTGCTGAGTTTTTTGCCCGTTCTTCTCAGAACAAGGCCTCCTAGTAGTTTGGGAACGGATTGCGTAGTCTTGCTCTTTCGCGAATTTTGTAAACGTTTTTGACATTCATAAGCATGCCCTAAGACGCATCTAAACTGAATAAACGTATTTTGATTGATTGATGGATTTATTGATTGATTGATAGATATATGTATATTATATAGAACAGGCGGCTCAATCACTCTGCCAGAATGCTCGCATATGCGAATTGGTACACTCTTGAAGAACCCTTAATCAATAGGTTCAGAAACTGTGCGCAGGCAGGTGTTCATGTCATGGTGTATATTATTAACTATTATGGAAACCGACGCAAGTTATATAATAATAACAAAACAATTTCACTTACCTGAAAGTACTTCTTGATAACAGGATGCGTGCTTAAAAGCTGCTGGGCCTTGGGTTCGTCCCTGCAGTAAGCCACGTGTTTGTCGAACTCTCTCTCCATACGCAATAATGCTCTGCCCAACATACGAGGATCTGCCGCGTAGTACTTTATGCCTTCTAGCAGAGATCTGCAATAAATAACTTTTAAAAATACCTTATACCGTGCCGATTTTCTGTGCAATATATTCAAACTCAAACTCAAAGTATCTTTATTCATATCGGTAAACAAGTGCACTTATGAACGTCAAAAATGAAGTTACATTAATTGTAAATTTACATATACTACCAGTTCGCTAGTCAAGGGCGTAGAGCGGGCAAGAAAAACTGGCAAGAAACTTTCCGCCACACTTTTTAATCGCTAATATATATGCTGGTCTACTCACGACAGTGCCACTGTTACACTGCCAGTGTTAATTGGGCATATAGAAAGACACTTTTAATGAACAGTAACACTATCTACTTGATTTATTTTAATATAATAATATTAAATTACAAAAATCAAATTCTTACGTCCTTAAAGAATACATACGTATTATGAAATTCGCAGATCTGTTTAAAATTAGAGAACAGAAACTCTCGGCTTTCGAAGACAGGTTTGGGCGTGGTCGTCTTGTCCATCGGCCTCATGTACTGACTCACGACCTGTTGCATGTCCCTTCCAAACTCCTCTTCGGTCTCTATGAGTTCACGAATCACAGCCCTGGAATAAGAAGAAAAGGGAAAAATACAGATTTATTTTCCTATAACTATCTAGGCGTACTTTGTTGTATACTACATTTAAGACATCTTAGCCTTAGTATTAGAAAAATATCAAGAAGATTCGTTCACCATTGAGTTACACAATTTTTTTTTAATAAAATTGATTTTAACATCACTTTAAAGCAAAAAACAATATTTCAAGTGGAGTGGGGTATATTATAAATGTTATTGAAAAACTGAAATGTTGAACACATCGCTTTATTAGTCCCAGGTCTTAGATGGTAAAAAGTTGTATTTCTCTTTACTAATGTTAGCTTTTACCTAAATGAAATTAATAAAAAACCTTTTCAAAATGAAAAAATTGGTAACATTCTCATGTATGTATGCATTAATTTTTTTAATTCTATTTGTATTATATATAAGACTTGCTTTAATTGAGTCAAACTCAAAATATCTTTATTCATATATAGTAAACAAGTACACTTATGAACGTCAGAAAAGAAGTTAAATCAATTGTAAATTTACATTTATTTACAGGCGTAGAGCGGGCAAGTCGTTTTAAAATATGATCCTTAATGAAAAATATATATTTGAATCTATATTTAATACAGTCTAAAATCTGTTATAACATCGAAGGGACTACTCATATTCGGTCGTAAAAACCGATATTCGTAACAGCCGATGACGTTGTAATTAACCTAATACAATAGAATTCAGCCGGGACCTTTTTTTTTGGTCAATATAACCAGTGTGTTGTTCTAAATGATGTCGTCGTAAACGTTTTAGACTGTATTTAAAATATTGACCAATAGTTAATTATTTTAATTTAATTAGACACATTAATCAAACCGATTGATTTACAACGTTTCCTGACACAATCTTAGCGCTAACGAGACAAGTGGCGAGTAATTGTGTGAACTTGATGCATTGAGTGTCAACATACTTCCCGCACATTTTGGCTTGGATTGCTGGAAGTCTGAAATTGGCAATAGGGCAACCTTGTTTTTTTTGGTACAGTATTCAAATACAAAAAAGGGGGTCTTCTGGGAGATACGACCTCCAATATTTTAAAGAAGGAGAATACTCCTCCCTGATAGGCCGCACCCACTAAAATGGGCTCGTTTGCCTCCCTTATCTTAAAAGAAAAAGTGTTTTGTTCCTATGTATATTTTGAGTAATGTCAAACAAAATGTATAAGATGATTTTTTTTGTAATATAGTCTACTTTCGCCTAGCTTAAAATATATAGAATTAGATCCACAGTTCTGATGCCCAGACATTCTTGACAGGTGTAACTAGCCAGAAGTATATATTTTGGACACGGTGAGATATGTTCCAATATTGGCACGGTAGATGTTCTCTTATCTTGGACACTTTCACTTTTATACCTACTTATAGAATTTCATTAAAACTGCGCACTGAATAAATGCCAGCAAGATGACTGTTACATGGCAGCTAATGACTAATATTGATAAAATATCCAGGTGTAATTTATATGTGTTTAATGGTAATAAACACGCTTTATGACCGTCTTAATGGGGACAAGGAAAGACGTTGCGCAAGATTTAAATGCGCCTAATATGCAGGGCAAAGATTTCAATGACGCCTCGGGATCAAGATTTGATCTTTATTATTTATTCCATATTATATCTTCTTCGAAGGCAATGTTACTCTAAGATTGCTACACACGCTACGGTGAAAGAAAACCTTGAGTAAAAACTGTCACATATTGTTGATTACTGCGTGTGTTAACTGAACACATATAAACAAGAATTTAATAGATAAGATCTTTTGCTTGATGCTGTAAGGATTCTAAAGCGACGGCGATTTTCTTTTTGTGTCAATCAATCAAAATCGGTTTATTCATTTTAGATGCGTCTTAGGGAATGCTTATGAATGTCAAAAACGTTTAGTAAATTCGCGAAAGAGCAAGACTACGCCATCCGTTCGCAAAACTACCTGGAGGCCTTGTTGTATGTACAGTAGGTGATTGGAAAAGGAATCTATTTTACTATAAAAAACACATTTTTTTCTTTGGATGGTAGTAGGGAATATAATTGGGTTTCACAATTTATGTACACGTTGTAAAAAAATAGTATTCGAAACAAAATAAATTCTAGCCATATATATTATTTTTGAAATTCAGACGTAAGCCAGGCATTTGGTTCCAGACTTTAATAGTGGTGGACCTTAAAACCCACGAACAGAGTCCACGAGATTCATGATAGATACCTCAATGCTAGCTTTATAGCCCGAGTGGGTTGTAGCCTGTTTGTCGCTATGTTAAGTGCTAATCGTAAACTTTCAGTGAGCACCTGGTGAGTGTTGATGCATTTCTAAATGCATCCTTTGCCAAAGTGCGTTATATGTGGAATTCATATCTGTGGAAGATTTTACTGAGTTATTAATGATAAATAATATACCTATATGTGGAATATATAGTTTGGATGTGGGTTGGGTGTTTTTGGGGGGGTTTTTTTTTTTTTTTTTTTTTTTTTTTTTTTTTTTTTTTTTTTATAATGCGAAGAGCCCTAGACGGATAGGAGAATGGAGTATTGATGGATTGAATGGATTGGTGGAGTAAAAATCAGCAACCTTAGGTATGCCGATGACACCACCCTCTTGGCATCAAATGAACATGGTTTACCCAAACTAATTCAGAGAGTGCAAAGAGAAAGTGAGAAGTGTAGTCCACATAAAAAATCCAAAACTAAAGTGATGATAATCGATAGATCAGGAAAACTCACACGCACTGGTGAACTGAAAGTGGTGAACCGAAATATTTCCTTAAAAACAAAGAAGAAATTGTTTGAGACTCTGGTATTTCCGATTCTTCATAGCGCTGAATACGGACATCTGAAAGGAGAAAAATCGATGCTCTTGAAATGTGGTGTTGGAGGCGGATGCTCAGGATTCCCTGGACAGCGAAGGAAACAAATATGTCTATAATAAGACGGTTACAAGTAAAAAATCGTCTTTCGACACTTTGTTACCAACGCATCCTGAGGACATGTATCACGCAGAGATCTAGAAAGCCTAGAAAAACTCATCAGGCAGAATGCAGGGTACCAGACCTCGAGTCCGATCCCCTACTCGCCGGACCGATCATGTAAAGGCCATTACTGGTCTTACCATCACCCAGGTGCAGAGGCCGAAGACGGGAGAGTGGAGAAAGTTGTGCGCCACACGACCTTCAGAAATGAATGCGACTGAAGAAGAAGAATATATCTCATACTATGTATTCAATGTCAAGTTCGGTCATTCACAATCGCTAAGCTTCTTGAAATTGACACAAAGTTTCCGTTTACAGATTTCAAGAACGAGCCCATCTGAGAACAACCAAGACAGTCGAGTTTCATATTTCCGACTTTTCCACGAATTTTTTTTTGATTATATATTGTTACGAAGACGGGTCGACTACAATGTTTCTAGATTTTTCCACTAGTTAGAGAACTTTTCAGCAGGCTGAAATGTGATTTCTGACCGTTTCAGGAGAGGGTCAATCACATATTAGAAAATCGTAATTTACATAATGTCACCCTAGTTTTCAGGAGCCTGAAACATTTTTCATGCCGTTTCAGAAACGTGTAGTCGAATTGTACACTTTTCAGGAAACCCGTTTTCAGGCGTTTTCAGGCCTGGTTATACCCCTTTGATGAAGGAATGTTCTAGAACGAATTTTCTAGGTGTGGGACAAGGACGGAATGATACGCGAGAGAGAGGGAAGATCGGAACCTTCTCGAAGCTAGACCGAGCACTCTAGAACGCCGTACGACAAGGACGGAGCAATGTGCGAAAGGGATAGCTAGTACGCACGTTCTAGAATTGTGCGATCGCTACTCAGTTGCGCTGCCGCCTAGAGAGTTCTCGAATATCGTTCCCAGGGATATATAAGCGAGCCGAAACGCGACCAGTTAGTTCAGTTTTGAATGCGATACCAAGCGATAAACACCGGAGTGACAAAGTGCGAATTAGTGAAGAAAAGTGAATACAAGTACTGTGTGAAGTGCGTGTTATTAGAGTAATTAGTGACAGTATTTTGTGTGTTTATTTAGTGAATTTTTGTGCGTAATTTCCAGTTTTTAGTGTTAACAAATTCCTCGTAGATTTAATTGAAAATAAACCCTTGAAGAGATTTACGGCGTTTCTATCCGATCCCCTAGCTCGTAACAATATTAAACTAAACCAAAAAATTACTTATTAAATAATATAAAGAATTATAACTTTGTAAGTTTTGAATTTATTCAAAATATTCGTATTTTATGTTTGTTATAATATATATGTAATTTGGGATTCTTAGATAAATATTTTATTTTTGTATGGGTTGTCTGGATGAAATTCCTGCCTGAATAGTATTAAAATACCATTAAGCATAGTAAATTAAATAAAATTGTTACTTTTAAAAATGATTTTTGTTTATTTAAATCAATTTATTAGTTTTATTGTTGATGTATCAACCTTTTCAATGCAGTAGAAAAAAGTCAGGCAAATACAAAGAAACATCAACAGTCCAATTTCCCGGTAAATAAACGCATTAGCCTGCATTTGAATGTAATTTTAATAAATTTATTAAAACGAGAGCGGGTTGAGAGCTACCATATTGTCGCAAATTAATGCTCGATGAGAGTTTTATTTTCGCACCCTTAATAAGCAGCTTAAGGCTCAGGAGAGACGGGAATTTCAAAAATTAAGGTGGGTGGACCATGGAAGGCCATGCTCCCTTGAAGGCCAAGTACTAAAAAATCATAGTTATAGTCATGTGATGACAAATTCCTTCCATTTACACAAAGCTCCATCAAACCCAAGGACACAGACGCGGTGACGAGTCGCTCGCGTTGCTATTTTGTCAGTGCGGTCCCTCACTACGTAGACTTCGGTCATCGATGTTAAAATTGTAATTTGCGCGCTCAGCAAAATATAAGTTTTTATATGAATATCCCATTATTATCATATTATTTTTACTGTAAATTGTCATATATGGATTTTTTTATAATACTAAGGAAAAAAATATTAATTTTACTTTGGTTTCAGTTAAAATATCGATAGTGTTCCTATAAAAGCCGGTGGTTCCTTATAAAGCCAATCAAAAATTTGACGGTTGGCCTTGCTAGGGTACATGGGTCTCACTAGGAACATTTACGAACTATGAAAATATGAACACTTCGTTTTTAGTTAGAAATACGTACCGGGAGTAAGAAAAAAATGAAATGTACAAGTAAGCGACGACAAAAAAAGAAAAACATCAATAAAAATGATTCCAAAGAACTGCTGAAAAGAAAAGCAGAAGGTGAAGAAAGAAAATGGTACTGTCACGCATGTGGCGAGTGTAAAATCGAAGACATGAGGCAATGTAGCGAATGTCAAAAGTGGTATCACGAGGAGTGTATTGGTCTCACTAAAAGGATCTCTCATTTTTATGTTCAGATTGTGATTAAAATAAATTATTATCCTTTTTAGTTTATAAGTTTATTTCCAAAGCGCGCGATATCGTGAAGTCCACGAGGGCGGAGCTGCGGTTGAAAAACTAGTTTTATCATAATTTCATTTTTTAATCTTAGGAATGGTTGATTTTAAATATTCCTGACTTCAAGACTGACTATGTACCATTTTAAGTTCGTAATAATTAGAGTACTTAGTCTGTAAAAAAGGCTGTCATAAATGATAATTGTTAGTTTGGCCTTCTTAGGAACATTTTGGCCTTACAAAGAACGGACCCATTAGAAGGCCATTATAGGTTAAAAAAAATTATATAATTTCATTGCAAAACGAATTGGTAACTCATTTGTTATCGAAATAATAGTCATTACTATAATTTTTGAATAATATCCATTAATAAGTTCTTAGTTATACGATAATGTTCAAGGAATGTTCGTTGAGTTTATTAAACAAGATTATAATATGTTAAGCATTTAATTTTTCGTTTAAGTGAAAGAGCTTTTTATGCAGTTTTAGTAAAAGCGGATATTTTGATTATTACAATTCTAGTTTTAAGTTGAACGGCTGAGATAAAATATTGGCCTTGTATGGAGCACTGTTCCTTGCAAGGCCGTTTAGAAGAGCTTTATAAAAGTTAAGTTTAAGAAATAGTGATAACGTCTACAATAAAAAAAACAATTTATATGTTGCACAATAAAACAAAGTGTTAGTTAATAATTTGTTTCTTTTATTTATCTAGTAAATTAATGAATAAAAACTGTTTATTCGTTACAGTGGCCTTCTATGGTCCACCCACCTTATTATGTATGTCAATCAAGTCGTTCTATCTTACTAATGATAGTTATATATATATATATATATATATATATATATATGGAAGGCTTGATTTTCTCGTTTGACAGTTTTTTGTTTTAAATTTTAAACCACTGATTTAAGTATAAATACAACTATGTAAAAGTCCTAATTTGCACGCCATTATGAGTGGCAAAATATGCGAACTTCGATTTAACCACCATAACATTTTTGTACCATATTTTTGCAAATACATTATTATTATTAACGGTAGAATATCGGTATCATTAAGTTTAAGTCAAAAATACAAATTAAAGTTTCTATCCCTAGTGACTTAGGCTCCATTTTTTTGGCGTTCATTTAGTTTTTTTATTACTTTTATCAGAATTTAAAAAAAAGGTTGGCACCGACACGAATGTAAAAGCGAAGACATAAATATCCTTTCTATAAATTACATATTTGCTCCTTTATATCGAACGAAGATTGAGGTCGCTTTTTATTATCTGTACATAAAAAATCTGATGTAAGGCAGGCCTTATTCACACATGGGAATCGTAAACGCGTAAAACACGATTATCGTCACCGTTTGCCTCAGTTCCGTGATGTGAAACCGCACTTCCCATAAAACATTTAATAAAAGTTGAAAATATATAAATATTTTTGTGTAATATTAATTCTGAGAAACTGCCGTGTACTTTTTTTTTTTTAGGGTTGGGGGGAGGAAGAGTTTTTTTTTTTTTTTTTTTTTTTTTTTTTTTCTTAAAATTTTTTATTTTTTCTTTTTTTTTTAATGTTTATTTCTTCGATAATAATAACAGAGGATAATTAAGTCTTCTTTGTTTTCAATAATTTAATTATAAAATATAATCTACAAATGGTTGAAATACCATTACAACATTTGAATAAAAAATAATAATAATCACGATCAGTGTGAATGAATGCAAACAGATCTTTATATTTTTTAATTTAAACAGTTATTAGAAAAATATATTCTGAAAAGGGCACATGATTCGCTGCAATACTTACGTTAACGAATTGAATAGGTTATCGGACTTTTTTATTGTTTGTTGAGTGAACTGACAAAAGTTCTATTATTTATTTGTGCTTATATTATATTATAGTAGTTAATTTTAAGTAGGAATTAGTGTATTTTATAAATAAATAAAAATAATAATACCATTTGAAAATATAACAGAGAATTGTAATAAAAAGAAAAAACTCTAATACATCAGATATTATGTAAATACTATTTATTTCACCAATTTATGAACCTAAAATTAAGCAAACAAGTCCTAAAATTTTTAGTCAAAATATCGTTATAGTTGGTCAAAACGTCCATAACGTGACAGGTTTATATGCTATTGAAGATACATAGACAAGAACATTGTAGAAACTATCATTTGAAGATAGCGTTAAATATTGTAGAAAATTACGATATTTTCGTAAAGAAGCTTAAAATTATTTACTTAATTTTACAAATTATATCTTCAAATTATACATTTGCAGACATTAACTATTGGATTTTCCATCTATCTGTTTCAAGATACATCCGGCTTCCTACGATGTCCGGCACACAACAAATCTTCCAAATTTATTTACCTTATAAATACTACATACAGTGTAAATTCCTTATAACGAATTTAAAGTGAACGAGCATATTTTTTCGTTATAGAGAGATTTCGTTGTACGGAAGAGAAAAAAAAACAAATTTAACCAATTACAATAATTTCTAATTTTATTACTAATAATAGGTATATTATTATAAACTCATATATTAAGTTAACATTTCCTGACGTAACACAAGATAGGTGACGATGTTGCGTTTAGTAACTGAGACCAAAATTTCCTACAGGCATTGTAATCTAAGAAGGCGAGACGGCTGTATATGACCTCAGGTGTCTTTCTTAAAAATTTCGGCACCTCAAAAGGTTAGTTTTGTAAGCTAATTATAAAAACAATAACACTTATGTATGTCGTTGATGTCCAAATATGAAAATGTTTCTCCGTAATAGAGAATAGCTGTTGCGTTATAACGAGTCATTTAATGTATGGGTTTTGTGTTAAACCAAAAAAATTTCCCAGTTTTACGTTATATAGCGTTTTTCGTGTGTCGTTATAAAGAGTTTACACTGTATATATATCGCGAATATTTTTATAATAAAATATGGCCGACACAAAAGTACTCACTGTCGTCTAGCAGCGAGCGCCGTCATATCCCTCTCAGGTTCCTTCTCCCGAAGAACATGGGCCGGCACGTAGCCCTGACGCGAGCTGAGTTCGTCGCCTTGAACGTCTTCTAGGACACGGACCAGCCATCTGGAAAGGATTTTATATTTTATTTTGATGTACCTAAGCTTAATTGGCATGGTTTATTGATTTCCGGATAAGACATAAAATTATAACCTTTATGTAGTATATTGTGAGCTTTGACTAACTTGAAATGTCTACACATAAACCAATTATAAAAATAAATGGTTTAGTACATTTCCTTAGACACCTACAGACACAGTATCGAAATTTTTAGGCAAATTATATGCTATTATGGTATAATATAAAGTTAGAATGAAATTTTAAATTAAACCCGTGATACTTCGTTCGCGTAGAAACATGAAAGGTCAAGCACTTTTTTTCAGTATGTTTTACATCGTGTAGATATTATTATACACATAAACTTTCCTCGTTTTTTATTATATGTAAAGAAGACATTGAGTGTTTGCGTATGGCACGATTTATTACAGGGAAATGCAGCTAGTCATAAAGAAATTATGTTCTGTCATTTTGAGTCGAGTAAAATCACTGCAGAATAAATTTTATTTTCGTCCAACACATGTAGGACAAAGACCCGCGTATTATGAGTGATTACTTTATTATTAGCGCGGCGAGTGTACTAGTTTCTTATTTGAGCAAAATAAAATCATTTATACATTTTATGACGTTTTAGTAATAGATTAAACATTGTAAGAATTATGAGAACTGAAAGAAAAGTAGCGTCCCAATTCTTAAAAGGCCGGCAACGCACTTGCGAGCCTTCTGGTAATGTGAGTGACCATGGGCGGCGGTATCACTTAATATAAGGTCCGCCTCCAGTTGCATAAAAAAAAGATTAAGTTATGAAAATAAGCGACTACATAATATATGTATTATTAATTATATTACATCGAATATGATTTATATGGCTTTTAGACAGTTACAATTTGTATATAATTTAATTGCGTGTAAATATTTGTGCAAGTACATATTCGTAAATTTTCCACAACAACAAAGTGAAGCGTTGTGATCTATTTTTGACCAAGTAATTACTTTCTGGAGAATAAATCTTAGGACACATAATTATGAGAACTAAGCGGTTTTGTAAAGGTACGTATTATTTATAAAAATTAGTGTTCTACCTCTGGTGAGTTGTGTGAACCCAACCAAAAGACAGGATAATCTATCGGCTGTTCTCTCACATTGCAGGTGATATTTCAGTATCAGTCAAAGACGTTTCCCGAACCCAAAGATGCCAACGATCATTGACTCTTTGAAAAAGCTTAATTGGGCTTATAATGGCTTAAAAACCATTTAGGTAACACAATGTACATTTATGAACGTCAATAAAGAAATATATATTAAATGCTAAATGCTTCTAATTTAAAATTTACTGCCAGTTCTCAAATCAAGGGCGTAGAACGGACGTGAAGAACTGGAAATAAACTCTCCGCCACTCCATTTAATCGCCAAGTTATTAATTTTGTTTTCCAAAATGTTTGTAAGGAGCTGCAACTATTACACCAATGTGGGACATGACATCTTAAGTAATGAATGGTTAATAATAATAATAATAAAATAATTGTCCTCTATCAGCAGTAGGCATGTTGAAATAGGAACACTTATATTCTCGTGGAAGCAACACCAAATACTACAAATAATAATATAGCAGGTACCTACAACTTTTACGTGCAAAACATATTCGCTATTTTGAAATACTCAAAAATAGCACCCGATGTCGAATGTCTTTCATCAGCTCTGATATCAACACAATCTTTGCGTAATAATATCAGCAATTTTATGATTTCTGTATTCAATCAATAGAGCAATACAGCTTCATTAATCACATTTGATTAAAATACACCTGTTTATAAAATATATGCGTTCGATCGGTCAAAGCTGGGCACTAACGTATTTAATTTATTCTTAATAATATTTTTGGACTTTGGACGTTATTCAATGTGATTTTTTTATATTTTTTTTATATTGGACAATTCACACCAATTGACCTAGTCCCATGCTAAGCTGGTGAAGCTTGTGTTATGGGTACTAGGCAACGGATATACATACATATTGTAGATAGACATATAAATACATATTTAAACACCCAAGACCTAAGCACAACACCAAATGCACATCACATCGATGTTTGTCTCAGCCGGGGATCGAACCCGGAACCCATGGATTAGACTTAGGGAGCGTTCAAGTATTACGTAACGATTTTTTCCTTTTGTAAAACGTTACGTTTCGGGGGGGGAATGAATTACGAGTTATAAGTATTGCCTTTTATTGATATAACTTTTACACATTTAAAGAAAGCACTTTTTTACCGGATTGAACACTTTGTCACCGTGACCACGCACGCTGTTAAGCACGCGAAACGTCGGAAAATTTTAAAATTATGTAAAATAATTGTAAATTTATAATACATAGCTTCAATCCGGTAGAAAAGTGTTTTCTTACGAGTTATTATTATTTTCGACTTTCCAGTTCCAGAAACATTTTACTATTGGATTAAACGTTTATATAGATTAACGTTACGGCGCGTTACATGGGGGAGGGGGGGTTAATAATCTCCAAAAATTATGTGACGTAATACTTGAACGCTCCTTTAGGAATTAGTAAACTTTTTATTAATTATGCTATTCACGTAGAATTTTTGGGCTAAATCCATCAGGCGTGGTTGAAACGTATTTATATAAAATAACAAATGTCGGAAACAGAAGTCGGAAATATCAGAAAAAGTTAACACAGGTCTATGAACGCTCATGGGGTTAAAATCTTTTAAAGTAAGTCAAATCAAAATAAAACCAAATTTACATGCTCTTCTTAAATTTCACGATTTTAAATTGGGAAAGCTCCTACGTCTGAATTAGATTGAAGCTGTTTGTTTTTACAAAATTTACTTTCAACATTGCACACGGAGCCTAATAGAATCACTGATATGATTACGGCAAAACACTAGGTAAGATATATACTTTTGACCAACGATTCAGGTCATAAAATGTTAGATAACTCTACCATTGCAACAGGGTTAAATTTTGCTAGTAATAATATATGTACAGCTCTTAAAATAATATATGCTTTAAATTTGTAAGAAAAAAAACATTTATTTTGTAAACACGATAATTTAAAATGCGTTGATTATTATATGATGATTATCGACTTGATGCGTCGATTTATATATTATACATTAGGACTAGATAATTTTATCTTATTTAGATATTGATATTTTTTTCATACGTATTATTTGTATGTACAATTTTCTTAAACTACAAGGTAATAATAAAAATAATTAAAAAGAAACTTAAAACAAATTTAAAAATTTTGGTCCATGTAGCAGTGTACCTTCAACTCTGGCAGCGTTTCCTCGCATTATTATTTCATTCACTTTTCATATTTTATCTTTATTTTGCAGTACACCATTTAAAGAAACACCACTTACGCTGATAACATTGACGTTAAGTCATAAATTTCGTTTTCTTAAAACAAGCCCAAAGGAGCCCTAATAACTCTTGAAGTCGGCACCGTACGTGTCTGCTGTTATCGAGACGAATTTATCGGAATAACCTACAACTGTCACGCAAGCCGTGTCAGCTTCAGGAATTTTAATTAAACGGGAGATTGCATTAAAATAACCTTAACCTAAATTGAAAACGAAATAATTATTTTCATAAATCATAATCGTGTTTTCGTGTTAGTTCTAATTTTAATTAGAAACCGAAAAATCTAATAACTTTTCATTTTAAAGTCATTTTAAAAAGAGGTAAGATGAATGTTAGTAACGCATAAACTTGATAACTACTTAAGTGATTTAATTTGTTTTAATAAATTTTACCAATCGAATGTTTCGTCATACTTGATTAGTTAACGTAGGTTTTAAAATAATGACCGGCTGTGCTAGCAGCTTTAGTAGTAGGTATAATAATCGAAATATTACTTTTCCTAAATATCCACTAATGTCGCGGACTATGAGGGTGCAAATTATCATTTTCTATGCAGTTCTCTTTTCTAGTATATGAACATTTTATTAAATAACTAGATTACCCAGTGAACTTTGTATCACCTACTTATATTTAAGTTAAAACTTATGATAGCATCTATAAAGACATGACAACCAAGTTACAATTTTTTATTTCTGAAAAGACAAATATTTGCCCGCTTGGAATTGTTTTTATGGAAAAATTCAACTGTCGTTTTCAGTAGTTTTCTTTACTCATTATTAATGTTTCCCACCGTTAAATCATTAAAGCCATTCATGAGTTTTAACGAGAAAACGAACAATTCATTTTTATATATTAGAAGATAAGCTACCGTTTATGCCAAAGATCTACAAACTATCATGTTGATGATATTGATTTTTGAAGTGAAACTTTTTTATCGGGGTTGGAAAAAAATTTAGTGTAACATTTTTGCGTTACGCGTCACATTTTTCCGTTACGCGCCATGTTGCTTTTTGAAGTCAAACTTCTTTATCGGCGTTAAAATATTACATATAGTATGTTTTTGACTTTGAAGTTTGACAACGGATTACATTTTCGAAGTCAAACTTCTTTATCGGCGTTAAAATATGACATATAGTATGTTTTTGACTTTGAAGTTTGACAACGGATTACATTTTCGACTTGAAATTTGCTAATCGCAATTTGCAGCAATTAATTTGTAAATTGTATGCTAGGCAGTGTATCAAAATTTACTGTGTTTAAAGAAATAGTTTCGGACCTCTAAACTTAAAACAAACCAATTATGGCTCTGCGTACAACAAAGGTTTTATATAAGTTTCACTTCTTACGTGTGTACACCTAGTACACGCACACATTTTTTTATATAATTATACTCTCTACTGTCCTGCCATTGCGATGCCTGACATTTTTACTAAAAAGGTTTACTCATTCGTGTTACGCGGCTCGCGAGATACGCGGTACCCCGGCTACATCGGTATTATACTATTATTATTACAATATTAATGGGCGAGCCGGGACGCAATTGCTTGCGAGACCCGATCTTTTATTTTTGTGTGCCACCTTTACATTTTAATATTATGTATTGCCTTGATAATTTTGTCGCAG